GGCCGGACCAGTGTTGTTATTTTGGTTTTCCTCTTGTATCCATCTCCAATATTTGAATCCGTACATAGTTTCTTTAAAAACAAGGAAAAACAATGCAAATAAAGGTGAAGCATTTACATTTTTATTTACAGAAATTTAATCCTTTTTTTTCCAACAAGTTTTTCAAGTAAACCAAACAGTCTGTCCATTCTATCTTTTGACTCCTGTGCTCTTCTTTCCTCCATTTCCCTCTGCCATCTCATGTCCTCTCTGATCAAATCCAAAAACTCATCCCTGTCCTTCTTTCTTTTTGCGCCTCTTTGCTCCACCTGGCCCTCATCTTCCTGCTCTTCATAATCCAACACTTGGTTGCCCACTGCTGATCTGGGCCCTGGAGTGTCCTCATGGATGGAACCAATTAGCACTGGAGGCTTGGTAGAAGGCCTATGTCCTAACACCTCATCCATGAGGGGAAACCAGGGCCAAGCAGCAGCAGTGGGCTTCCTGCTCACTCCCTCGCCTGACCCTGGATACTTGAAGTCCTAAAGGCAGAGGAAATAAAAAGTGGCAGTTGACAAAAAAAGCAACAGTACAGGTTTACATGAATAAGTTTCTAAATTGCCAAAAAAAACAAAACATATTTGAATACAGCTGTACATACTTTATATTTCTTTTTTAGATTGTCCCATTTTTTTTTCGCCTGCAAAAGGGTGACTTTACCCTGCAGGCCCATCTTTTCAAGAATGGCCCTAACAGACAGAAAATAATAGAGCATATCAATCTTCTTAATTCCTGAACAGTATCCATAGCAAAATGTACACACTTTGGACTAAAAGACAGATTAAGCTCTCTCCCTTATGCCTAACAGATTAAAAGCGGCATATTGTTGCTGTACCTCCAACCCACAGTGGCTGAGTTTTTGGCACCGGTAAACAGTTGCTCATTGTCGCTCCGGAGTTTAATGAAATTGGTCGTCTGCTCTTTGCTCCCTAAAACATGACAGGACATTGGAGTACAATCAAACATCTCACACTTCTGTTTAATGGGTTTTCTGCTTGACGTTTATTCAGCTATGTGAAAACTACTATAACTTTAATCTCAGCCAAACTGATTTACAGAGGAACAAATAAAACTATGAAAAAACAAACATTAAGATTTATAAGTTATCTAAGTGACTTATATATATCACGTTTAACCCGAGTAGCGAAAGATAGCGCAGGGTCGGTAAACTTACAACTGGCGGGACTGTACAATCGTAAGTTTAACGACTGTAAAAAAATTACTTCCATTGAACTGCCTTGTTAACTACTTTAAGAAACATCTTAACATTTGTATCGCTACTTCAAATACAACTTACATTTAAAAATGTAGTTGTCCTCGACCGCCGTTTCTACCGTCTCCGTAACATTGCTGAAAACTAGAGTTTGGCTGGGCCGCGCTATGAATTCTGGGAACCCACCTGATGGACTAATAAACTAATAATCTAATAACTTTGATCTCCGATTTACTCTGGAACAAATAAAACACCGAAAAAGGAAAACAATTACATTTTTAAGTTATCCGAGTGACTTATATATTATACATGTTTAACCTGAGTAGCGAAAAAGCGGGGGTCTGAAAATGATGAAGCCGGGAGTCCGCTGCTCTTGCCGGCTGTGTGACCATTGAACCCCCCGGCTTGCTATTGAGCGGGTGGGTAACAGACATCTCCGAAAACGTCGGCACACTTTTGCAAATATGTGATGTCTTGATAAACCAAGCAGATATTTGAAGTTTACACAGCTACTTTCTCGCCTGAAAATATGTTAAAAGTTTATTTTTGTGACCCAGAAAGATTAATAAGAGTAATTTTAAAACTTAGTAGCGGCCGCCATTGTTGG